TTAGCTACCCTTAACCGCGCGCATCCACGCCCTCGGATGGACGACCACGCCGTTTCGCGAGGAAATGCTTTCCAACGGGCACCATTGGCTACTATATCGAGAGATCACCGTTTAGAAATACGGTCCCGGCGAACACAAAGGCGAGGGCAGTCCTGATAGAATTATTAACTACGTTACCGAACATACCACGACCCTTTTGATCGTTAAGGAGTCTATTTATCTAGAAACTCTCTCGACGAAATGCGAAACTTGTAAAAGGATTTTTCCTGCGAAAGTCGTCAGATCTGTCAAGAGAGAGTCGTCTCACATACGACGCGCCCCAACCGCTCCCTTTATTACGTATGAGACTCGGGGAGGAAGCCGGCTCTCCTACAATCACTGACTCGGTAATCTCGCGGGATATCAAGGCGGATCGTCACAACATCCGCCTTGAGGCTCAGCTGGTTAACTCCAGGTTAATGGATCGATGCATTAATGTGACGGATCGTATGTCGGTAATTATCAAAGAGGACTTTGATTCTACGTTTGTGTGAGAAGGGCCTAGATGCACCCCCGGCGAGGTGTATTTAATGCGACTCGTATGTGTATATGTATGTATATCCGGCCTTATCATTAATTGGATCAAACGGTCGAGCGTCTTGGATCGATACGTTAGTATAAGGGATTTCGTCACAAGTAATTACAACAGACATGTTGCGACAGCCGCTGACAAAAGCGCCTCGTTGGCCTATTGTCTCTCGCGGAATTGGGTTACGCGATCGTAACCCAACGAAGAGCTGGCAATTTCCTGCTTGTCGTGCTGCGCCGAGATTCGATGACGCCTACAGCAAATTATTTCCTACGTCGATCTGTCGTCGATTTAGTTAATGATCGCGGTCCGACCGCAATAATGGCGGCATTGACGATTGGTGGAAATCGGCGGCGTAGTCCTAACGCGTCCGGCACCGTTCACCACCACCGATTTACAATTCAGACCGCGCATAGTTTAATTATGATGTCCGCTACATGTGATAAAAAATGTACAACTGTGGTACGAGTTACACACGGAATGTCGCGAAATCGCCAGATGTTTATTACCGACTCTTTAAGACCAATTCAAAATTTATTTTTTTGCGATAATAATATTGAGGACGCGATAATCTTTGATAAATTAGCGGTTAAAATTATACGGAAAATGTTTGGCGAACTAAACTCGAGAACAGAAAGTAAAAAAGAATATTACAATATATTCTTCAATGAATTTCTCAAGCAAAAAGATTTTATGTTGGAATCTAATTTATACAGGTTAAAGCGATAAACTATGGTCACCCTCGATATTCTCAGCAAGAAAATATCATTTTTAAATTGGTTAAAAAAAACTACATTTTTAAAGAGGCATTCGATTTTATATATTGTGAACTTTATGACTTTGCTCTTTAAAACTCTGTTTTTACGGCACTTTGAAGCAATGATATTTGTCGAAAAATCTTTGTATTACAATTATTTTCAATTCTTCTAATATGCTTTTCTTATCTAAATTAATTCTCTTTGATACTTTAATTTATTACACATTTCAGTATATTATATTCGATGTTCTGCAAATGGAGTCGATTTCCCGTTTGTGTATAATTCATACCTCGCTGGGATACGCTAACAATTATTCGCGTCATGAATAACATTTACGCTAGACAATATTTGGACGTCTTGCGTATTCATTGTAGTCGCATGGTAAAAGGAGAAATTGGATGGCAGGTAGATGAGTTGGCGGGAAAGGGGGAAACGGAGCATTAGTGACGTACCGATGAAAAGGGATGATGCTATTAGACTAATTAAGGTGTCTTAAGATTTTAATGAATTCTCTTCGCTCAGCTAGCGACGATAAGTCGAATCGGTACATGTAAATATGTTCGGACGTATAAACTTTCAGCGAAGAAAATTGCAATTTACTTTTTTTTAAATATGTCCATTATATTTTATGCGCTAGTTTATTTTCACGAAATTGTCGCTAAATTTAAAAATATTGTCACGCAAACGTTCGTCATTTATAATAAACTTCCGTTATAATTTTCGGTAATTATTATTGATTATAAACAATGTATGGAGGAGAAATTTTTGAATTAAATTTAAATCACACATGACACAATCGATTTTCGTTATATATTTCTAAATTTCGATGAGTCAAAGATACACGCTCGTATTTAATCGGGCATAATGAGAGAGTTGATTCGTCGCCGTCACGTTAACTGGTTCAATCATCAATCAGCTCGGCGAAGCTAAATGGTCAGGACAACGGGTTTTAATATCTCCCGAGGAAAATAAAAGTTAGCGCGATAAATCAAAGGTGAAAAGTCGCTGCCTTACCTCTCTCTCTCTCTCTCTCTCTCTCTCTCTTTCTCTCCCTCTCTCACTTTCTTCTGCTATCTCGCTTTTTTCCTCATTGCGTTCTCAGCTTTAATCTCTCTGCCTTCCATCGGTGACTTGCAAAAGTGATAAATGAATTTTGCCCATCGCGCGTGCCATATTTATATCTATAAAACTAGATAATATTCCCTCGTAATAACCATGATGACGCGAACGATGATAATTTCTAACAAATTTGTAATTTATTCGCTCGAAATATCTCTCTCGAAATATTGATTTTCACATGTAGGAGGTTGCGGATAGAACAGACAACGACAATCGCGAATTTAACGCCTCTTTTTCCGATTTTTTATGATAAAACTATTATTAATTCCATGTTCGCATCTTTCGCGCGTGTGTGCGGGGATAAATGTCGCAAGATAAAACTGCACAGAGTTCATGCCGTTGTTGTAATTTTTGCGGCAAACATTGTAGCCAATCGAGTGGAACGGGTTGAAAGTCATTTAGGTATTATCTTACAGAAAAGACGGTGGCTACATATTTGCATTACATTCGCGTGTGTAAACACGTCCGCTGAGGCGCATACTTTGTCACCCTATCCTATTTACCTTGGGGAGAACGCATCTTCGCAGTATGCATCGCGTGCCACTTTCTACCATTTTCTGGCGGCATGGTAATCGTTCAGATACGCTTGTGACAAATAGCAATGGCCTCCTTTGATGTGCGCTTTCTCGAATCATTAAAATTGTCTATATTATCACGCGTTCTTTATTTTATCAGTACCGCTAAAATTACACAGTTGAAGCAAGAATAATAATTTCTAAATTCAGTGATAAAGTGAATAATTATATTTTCCCTACTTTTAATAATGCAGCTACGTTTCCAGCTTTCAAAGTGCTCCATCACGACACAGTTTCGAGAAAAACTTGACGTTAAAATCGTAAAAAAGGCATACTTTACCATGTTACAGCTGCAGCATATAATGCCACGCGCGTGTGTTAGAAAAGCTTTTATTTCATTCAAAATTGAATATGTTGGAACTTGCCTCAAAAAAAAAAAATTTCCTATAAAGATTAAGATTTATAACCATTTTCATGATTAAATATTAGATCTATTGTGGGAAAATTTTTTATAATTTTTAATATAAATTAAAAATCACATTGAAAATCACGGGCAATCTATATCGATCATTTGTTATGCAAAATTATATATTCAAACTTAAGAATTTTTTTGGTCGGTAGAGGTATACAAAAGTATACAAAAGTGATATCAAGACAAACTGAAAATAATTAAATCAGTATGTGTCTGCTGAATGTCGAAATTAAAATATTCTTTGACTTCTTTGAGAGCATCAAAAAAGACTATAATAGTTATTTATATTCTTAAGTTTCTTGGTTGTATAATACAATATAAAAAACGATTTAAAAAAGTCTATTTTTTGTTCAGTTCATTTTTTGTAAGATAGACTATTCAATTGATTCAATGATGTATTATCATATTTAATTGATATTCAATGAATGAGATTTAATTTATGGCTCATGTTAGTATTTATATTAAGGCAATATATTTTCGCAAATTTGATTTAATTCTTCTGACTTATTTATATTTTATACATTTGTGCTCGTTATTCCGATGGATAATATGATGAAAAGAATCTAATTTTTTCTATCGCTTAAGAATTCATGTAGGAGTGGAAAAAATTGATGATTAAAAGTTGAAGAAAACTTATATCAATATCTATATAAAAAAATATTGCGTATAACAGATGGATTTTAGATTATTGAAAAACTGCAGCTGTATATAAGTATTCTAATTTACCCTATGTCTTTTCATCTCTCGTACAATTCTATTCTTCAATGTTTAGCAGAGACTGCTATAGCTCTCTACACAATATAGTTGTAATCCGATTGATGACGCTTTCGCTAAGGATAAATGAAATTATGGATAATTATTCAGGTATATACCCCGAATAACTTATAGGGAAGCGCGAAGAAGGGGGTAAAAGGGGAGAAGGCGTGTAGTACTGGGAGAGTAAAATATGATGTAGAGTTTGGCCGGCTTGGCCGGCGCCACAGCGGCTAATATGTTCTAGGGTAGAAGTTAGTAACAGGTGACGCGATCCATAACAGCGCGCGGTGCGAAATTTGGCCAATCTAGAAGGACAAGGGGGTTGCATGTAAATATATAGGTTTAATATTTTTAATTCCATATTTTAATTTCCTGACTATTGCGTGTAATTTTTCGAATTCTTTGAAAAAGTTTGAAGATTCGAAAATAATAGATGTATATATACATATGTATCCCTTAAATATTTTTTATTAAAAATCTGCATAAAAATATGCGGAAAATATTTCAAGCGAATCAACAACATGTAGAAAGAAAAATATGACCGGTGTTTGATTGAGAGATCGAGGGTGAAGGTTTGAAAGAATAAATCTCTCTGAAACTGAAAAAAATAATTATGTTTTTTCCCCACGAAAAAACAGCAAAAAAAAAGAATGATAAATGAAGAAGGGTTTTTTTTTTTTATTATACGCTTCGGGAAGAATGAACAGATATTTCGCCAAAGAAATCGAATAATTAATTTGGCGCGAAATATATATACAACATTAATGTAAATCCCAGCTTCATATTAAAGAGGAAAACTTGTTTTGTTACAGTGTCCGCACCGCCCAGCACCAGTCCTAGTCCATCTACCACGGAAATCGCTAAGAAAGGTAAGATTTTAAGTGTAGTTTTGCCGTATTCGCGATAATTGAATATAATAAATCGTAGCAAAATTGATAAAACGCGCTTTTAAGATCGCACGACTCGCATCGTAAAATCTAACGATACCATATAATATATTGTACAATCGATATTATTCACGATACTCTCGGTCGCTTGAATCTAATTTTCCAACGCGTGCGTTTACTTTTGCAGATTGGGATTTCATGGCGGAGATGAATAACTCTGTTTACGGAAATCCAAGTTCGCTGACAATTCATAATGAGAAGAATATCAAGACAGGTGAGTACTCTCTCGGAGAAAGAGAAAGAGCGATATATCTTTTCCTTTATTTTTTTTTTTTAATAATGCATTCAACGTACGTATTTTACAAATTACGAAATTGACTAGGCATTTTTGCATTTCAACAAAGTACATAATGCAGTCGTCGGCTGTCGCGCAACATACGAAGAGAGTAACAAGCACTTGAAATATATTTGGAAAAAGTATTTTCGCGTCGGTCTTGATCTCTGTTCGAAGAGCGCATCAATCATTCGGATCTCTCTCTTTCTCAAAGAACACGTTTGAAACAAGGAAACAAAGATAACGAGACAGAGAACAGAATTTAGAACTGACGTAATGTCGGAAGTGATGAAAGGAAAAGTCTATTAAATAGAATATATTACATCTGATGTGAAAAAGCTGCGCAAGAAAATATCAATACAAATTGAAACGTCAATAACGCATCGAATGTATTTGTTTTAAATTCTGCATATTGATGTATCGGTATATCATTAGTATTGTTAACGTTAAAAAAATTCTTGATGAATACATAAGAGAAAGATTCAAATATTTCATCGGCATATTTCTATAGCCTAGTAAAATATCAAGGGCTAGATAGCGGATTTACATATTCAATCCAGCATCACGTACAGCTAAATGACATTTCATAACTAGATTTTCCAGTAACATACTTTGAATCTCCGGCGCTATTAACTTCGATGTTAACTGGAGCTAGGAAATGCACCGGGGAATCATCCCGGCAATCGATTGCGGCTTTAAAGGTGGTTTGAAAAAGAGCAAGCAGTCCACTCTTTAAAGAAGGGGCAAAAGAGAGAACAATGAAAATAGAGTTTACAACAAGATAGAATTTCCAAGACGAATTCTTTTGTTATGCAAAATCATCTTCATTATCGCAAAAATGCAAAGAGATAATATTATTTTGAATCAGCATCATATAATCTTGATATCGATAATCCCTAATGGAAGCATAAAAAAAAATTTACATAAATTAAAAGCTGAAACGTAATAATTTGAAAAAAAGGACGTGATATATTGCGCTCTATTTTAAATTCTCAGCATTTATTTAGGAAATCAAAACACACCACGACTATCAAAAAAGCTTTGGTTAAAGCGAGAGAATAAAAACAATGAGAGAATAAAAGTAAAGGTAACAAGAAAGAGAGAAGGAGGAAAGGGGAGGAAAAGAGGTAACTGAAGTGATGTTCGTAATGTTCGTAACAGGAACACGCGAGTGGTGGTTACGCGGAAAGAGCAGAAAGGATAGATGAATGAATCGAGAGGCTAGGAAGAGAGGAAAAGAGAGAGAGAGAGAGAGAGAGAGAGAGAGAACTGGGAACAGGGTTGACTGGGGTAGAAGAGATCCCTGTAACATCAATATTTCATGTATGCTAACACGCCGGAACTAATAATGCTCCAGCGTGGAAGACCCAAGAATAATATCAGCCGCCACTGTGTAGTCCGCGTTCTCACCGTCCCTTATCCTCGCCTTTCCCTTCTCTCGCCCCTCTATTTCTTTCTTTGTCCTTTGCTTTGCTCTATCGCCTAAAACAGCAGCGTGCAGCGCGCTAGCGTCCTTTTGCCGCCTTGCCGTGTTAAATTTAATCGAAAATTCGTGTCTCGTTGAGGGGGGGGGGGAACACCGTTTCCGTATCTACCGTGTCCGCCTTCCTTACCTCCACGTATAACCCGATGTCATCTTCCGCAGAGGCAAGGGAAGAGGGTAGGGGGAGACGGCGCGGAAAGGTAAGAGCGAAAAGATGAAGCACTGAGAGGGAAGGAAGGCATAGTAGTAAACGGGATGTGGTAAGTTTGAATACGGCATATGTCTCCTTGTCTCTCCCTCTCTATTTGCGGAGAGCGCAAGGAAGGGGAGGAAGGACGGGCTGTGAAGAAAGGATGAGGTTTGTAATTGCTGCAACATCTGCGGTCTGCAAGGTGGCATTAATGTTTGCTCCCTTCGCGTCCTCCCTCCCCCCTCTCTCTCTCTCTCTCTCTCTCTCTCTCTCTCTCTCTCTCTCTCTCTACTCCATCCTCCTTTTCCACCCCAATGCCGCCAACTCTGAGAATCCCTCTTTCCTTTATCTTGTCGTTTCTCTTTTTCTTTTCTTCTTTTATCTTCTGGTTACATTTAACCGAGTCCGCTTTCATCTCTTTCTTATTTTCTTAAGCAGTTTATTTTTATGTCATTTTCTTTCCTTAACATATCTGTTTGACTTATATTCTCTTTTGGTCCGCTAGCATCTCTTTTTGTATCCATGCTACGCTTGTTACGCGATTTCACCAACAGCTTCCTCTTACTTCGCACAGTACATTTTTCTTTCTCACATAATTTATTTCATTTCTTTTTTTCCCTCATCGCGCCCTTTGCTTTTCGTAATGCGTTCTTCAAACAATCCAGCGGTCGCCCTTTCCCTTTTGCGCCGTCGCTTCTCGTTATTTGTATCGTTGAAAATTAAAGGGCACAAGTGTACACTTAAGATTAAACAGAAGATTTGCTCGCGGGTTTCCTTCGCGCGGAAGGAAACCCAAGCATAAACAGCCCCTTATTTGCTCGTAGTGACTTGCGACAATCCGTCGTTGAGAATACCTAAACATAGCGCGCACTGCATCTTAACTTTCCGTATAAGACGGTATAATGCTATTCATGTGACGCAGCACGAAAAGGTATGTTTACTTGTAAACGTTGCAATGTGAAGCAGCGTACGACGTAAAAAAAAAAAAAAAGATATTTACAATTTTGGCAAGATGCATCTATTATATCGAGATATACATCAAAGGGATTAAAAGATACCTAAAAAATTTCTTTGTATAACGGAATATTACGTAATTGCGTCGCTTGCAAATTGCGACGATTCATGTACTTTGAGCCATTGTATAATTGCACCTTTCATAGGTATTCGTCTATTTTCGTTTCTCGTTTAGCTAAGCATCTCGCGACGGCAAATTACAGAAGCGACTATACACGGCCTACGGCGATAAGTCACTTTGAGGTTCCGATGGGAAACAGAGCAAGTATTGTCGCGGTATCGTGACATCTCCCGGAGCACATATGCCCTTAGGTGTCGCTTAATTCCCCGGGGCAACGTTACCCGCCTGTAATTCTGGGAGAGCATGTATAGCGATTGGTTTAGCCGCGTGCCTTCGTACGATTAACACGTCCCCTATTCTATCGTACGTAGCATGCGTATGTAGTATCGAGAATAGAGGAACGAAAGCGTAAAAACCCAATTTGGCCAATTTATTTTCTCTCATCATTCTTTTGAATAAATAAAATTAAGTTAAATGAAAGGAGATTGAATTTCTTGTAAATGTACATTTCAGAAGTTCTATCGGAAAAGAGTTAAGCACCGCGAATTTGAAATGTTAAACGTAAGATAAACGTATTTTCTTAAAATGTTAGCAAAGCAAATTCTCAAAGAATTCAATGAAATCTTGCCCGTTGCGTGTCGCAAATTATTTATGACGTGAATCAACATCGTAAAGAGACGCGTTAATTACAAGTACAACACGCTGTGGCAATATTGCGCACCGCGTGACACGGACGTATAAGTTTAGATCTCAGCGTGCGCGCGACCTTAGACCGCTGTTAATTTTCTTGGGGAACAAGAGAGAGAGAGTTAGCCAGGCGGCAGCCGCACCTCAGGGACACAGGGTAGCATTGACTTTGTCGCCCGCACCAATATCGGCCAACAGCAGCTCGCCCAGGAAGCGAGCGCATACACGCGAATCGTTTAATATTCACGGAATGCAGAATGTGGGCTAAATCCCCACACAGTTTCAATGAAAATACGTTAAACATTGCGCTGACCCGTTCTCGAATCCGCGCAAACGTATGCGTGAATAAACGTACGAATATCTGCTAGACAAAAAAATCAATGACAATAATAGTCAAACTATAACTTTTCAGAACTCTTATCTACAGTATTTTCTTTTTTCCAAGTTGATTCACGTCATAAATAATTTTTATACTTAATGCACAAGATTTTATCTTTTTTTGATGAAATATGTTCGACTAGATATTTGCGTATAAATGCAACTGCAAAATTTTTTCAGAACTGGTATTTTATCTTGCCCTATACTAAAAACATCTTTTAACACCTCGTCAACATACATACGTGAATTATGTCTGATACAAAAATATCGATGTATCGGGAGATTAAATTCTTACAGATTGCGATTCGTGCAATTTTTTTCTTATTTTAGGTATTTACAAAGACCGTACTTTGAAAGAGAGGGGATAGCGATATAGATGGATGTAATGTCACACCAGTGAATGTTTCATCGCAGTTTTATATGCGACACGCGAATTTAGGTCAGAGCGTCTGAAAACGTTTATCAATATTTTTTATCTTTTCCTACTGTAAAACGCGTTCGCACAAAAGCACCAGATTCTCGTATTAATTTATATACATAGCTTACGGCGTTTAATGCTGTATTGATTACGTTCTATATAAGTACAATACATAAAATTGAATATTTTTATTTTTCTGGAATATTTAATTTAATGACGTTAAACGTTTTAACTTTATCAAGGTCAAAAGGAGCCAACAATGTGTGTAAAATATAATCGCAAATTACATATAAATTTCATCGACATTTATTTTTATTTTATCTGTGTATTTTTCGATAAAAGAAGGAATACTAAACCCGACATATGTTTTTTTTAAACTCATATACCATTATCCCTCAGCAAGGTAAACTATATTTTACCAAAACTTTAATATAAGCCTGCTCCACTTATTGAATTTATCTAAAGTAATAAAGTTTATCTAAAGTAATAACTAATATTTTATTTTAATTTACATGTGTAAATTTTTAAATTTATTTCGTATTATTTTTCTCATGTTTCTGTAGTTTTCAAAATATCACGGTTTTGAATACCAATTTCTTCAGTTTTCTTCCGTTTTTTAGATCATTTGTTCAAATATTTGAAATAATATTATCAAAATATAATCTGGGATACAATCTGATAAAAGAGCGCACAATCTCTAGTAAATATCCATGGTATAAATTTTCATATTAAATAGTTAAAGACTAGAGTCTAAAAACAGAATGGTATATATCGGTTTTAATATTCATCCCTCTTCCCCCTTTATCATTCTTGAAAATTTACCGGCACGCAATTATCACAACTATCTTCACAACAAAATTCCGGGTTTCTATACAGATAACACTCTCCCATGAGCTTACACGTGTCCGGGCTCTTGCACAGCTATTGATACATACGTCTGGCACCCTAAATACGTCGTCGTCCACGCATAGCTATAGAAACAGCCGCCCGCGTCGCGATAGAGATTCTCGCATATAGGAAACTATAGAACTGGCCCTTCCCTCCGGGCAGGTAGCAGCGTGATACACGTATAGCGCATGATACACACTGTCACTGCTAATGTTTGGCCGAGATTTGCATACGTCTGTCTAGCCTATCCATTGCGTCGCCGTACAACGGTGTCTCACCTCGTTGTCCGAGGGTGTATCCGGCCGTGGTGGCGACCTTACGTATCAGCTACCCAGTATTATGCATACATGGACATGTGCATACACGGGGGCGCAAGCGCCGTATACCGTCATGATGGCCCATTACCTTGCCCGAAATAGGCTATCGTGCCAAGATCGTGTTCCTCGACCTCGCCTTGCCCGAACTAGCTTGCATCGCTCTGCCTCGGGAGTCGTGAACTTACAAATCTAATCAGGGGGATGGGGAGGAAGCGAACGAAGACACAAAGCGGTACTCACGAGCAGCTTTGCTCCGTGAGTATCTCGAAATTAAGCCGTAAGCGCAGGTTGTGCCGGTCCTGCTATTTCCTGTTCTTCATGTTAGACGCACTTGCGTTTGTCGGTGGAACTTTAGTCAATTTACTGCACACATACACGCAGCTTTGAAAAAGTCATAGAAATTTATAATAACCAATGGTTTTAATCTTGCGATAGATGACGAGAAATGCTATGGATGTGTCTGTAGATGTAAACTGGATAGGCTTCAAGAAATCGTAGAGTTTTAATTTTTATAACAATCGTTAATAACTAGTAATTATCTGTATGTTAAAAATTATTCGTAATTATTTCTATTTATAATTGTTTTATTATTTTCTCATAAAATATCTTTACGTTTAGAGATATAAACATAATAGGATTAAAAATATATGTACAAAGATATATTGTATATTAACTGTTTAGCCGATAAAATTAAATTTATTTGATTGTCAAAAAAGAGTTTTATTATATCTTAATAATATATGTGTTTTAAATTTATTTGTCTAGATTTTGTAATGTCTATTTATTCATGTCTCTTTCAATTCGCTAGCGTGTAATACACGCAAAGACGGCGTGTACACACGTGATGTATATATTCTATTATACGTAAAGTCTGACTGTGTAATTTTATCAAAATATACTCGTCGCGAATTCTATTTCGTTACAAGAATGTAATCCAAACCGGCGGGCTAGCGACACAAGCGTGTGTCGTGACATGGATAGAATCTACTTGGCGCGGGATAAGGGAATTGTGTTTACTCGGAGTTTGCATACTAGTTAACGCGTTTGCCACCCACTTTATGCGTAACAGGCTCGTAAACATCTTCAGTCGAGAGGGCCACTCATCGCACAACCCTTTGTCCGCGGTTCCACGGGCTATGCGAATCGCACAATTTCCTTTCGCTCTTTCTGTTATCTCTCTCAGATCCCGTCCCCTCTGTCTCGACTTGACTTTGCGCTATGTCGCCTCGAGGCGAGATTCAATTTTTAATTCATTTCCGTAACATCCGGGAAACACAAATTGCCGTTAATGCATAGCGAACTTTCCAACTCGATAAGATATTTTTATCGGGGCTACTCGTATATTTCATGTATCATTAACGTTACGCCAACATAGTTCTCACAATTATTTTTTTATATGATGATATTTCTCATCTTTCGTATTTTTTTTTTTTTTAAGGTACCAAGTATCAATCGAATCTTAACGAAATCGGAAGATCAGAGCAAAAGTTGTCCGAGTTGGATAGGAAAAAAAGTCACAACTGGTCTGCTGATAAGGGTAAGTTTGATATTTATTTTTTTTCGTAATAGACTTTTCATGATAAATTTCGCAAAGAGATCATATTTGTGCAAAAATATCCTTTTTTTTTTTGTTACTAATAATATTCTTTGAGACAAATATCAGTACCAATCAGTACCCTGCTCTCGTGGAGACGAACGAGTTTCACGCGAGGAGACAAAACGCGACAAGTTTTTCTCTTGAAAGGTGCGGTTTATCTGGCATTTCGCGGCTCCGCCACGGCATTTAAACGGCTGCGTTTCTATCGCGTTTCCGAGCGCGGGTCCAGGCCAGGTGTAGCACCTTTCATAATTCCGCCGAGCCTTCGGCATTATCGGATAATTCTTTTCTACGCTCGCATTTTTTCCCCCTTTCCCCATCTTCTCTTCTACTCCCCTCCTCCTTCCTTCTTCGGTAATTCAATCCCCTTTCGTTCCCCCATACCGGTCTCAATATCTCGCTCGACCGCGGTTACTTTTAAAAAGAATTTGCATAATGGCGTAGTGTGAAAATCTGGGGACGATCGCGATAGTATCGCAAAAGTAGGTAATTTTGCATGGAAAAAAAAGCGAAACCATAACGAGAAAAACTGCATCGCAAACCTCATGTAAGCGTCTTCGCAAATAAAGACCGGTGCGAGAAATAACGAATGTTGCGCGCGAGAGGACCCGGGAAATTTTGTGTCGAAGTAAAATGTTAACAAGGACTACTCGACGAGAGGAGCCGGGTTTTAATTCCGCTGTAAGGTTGCAAGCTGAGGTCGATACTCAGACAATTACGATGGATTCGATATCCGATACCGAAAAAAGATACGAAAGACTGCGCGCCCCTCATGCACATCTTACCACATCATATATCGCATTTTCATCAAATATATATATATATATATATATATACACACTCGCGGTAACAATAGCGAAGGAAAAAAAAATATATGCACACACACACACACACACACACACACACACACACGCACACACATATATATATATATATAGATAGATTTTACTTTTCCGTGTCACGTGGAAAAATGTAGACTCGCTAAAATGATACTAGTTTGAATCTCTAGTTAGAAATCTAACACGACAGAACGTCATCCGTACCATTTTCTACGCGCAATATAATGAGATATAAATATCGATCATAAATACATAACGCGCGCCATTCCTCTCGCAGAGTTAAAGAGAAAGAGAGAAGAAAGAGTGGAATAGGGTGAGAAATCGCAAACTGAAGGAAGGTAAGATCGTATAAAAGTAGCGAAGCAAAGAATTCTCTCGGGGCAACGCAGCAGGGGCCGGATAAAAGAAAGGGGAGTCGAGGCAAGTTACTGCTTGCGCGAGCCTTTGGATGAGACTCGAGAAAACGAAGAAAGGTCCGTGAAAGAGGGTGGATGAAGGGAACGACGGGTGGACGGAAGGAGTGATCCGGTGGCGGCGGCCTACCGGGTTGTTTCTGATTCGTAATTAGAGATGAGTGAGGCCGGGAAAAGACCGGAGAATATATTTCTCTCCAAGCGAGTAATAGCTAACGGTACGCAGCAAGCCAACCGGAAGAATAACTGACTTCCCATTTTTTCCGATTTTTTTTCTCTTTTCCCTTTGCGTCTACCCTTCTTCCACCCCTTCTGTATCTACTTTGCTCGGCCTGTCGGCCATCGGCACCTTTTTCTCTCCCCCTCTCTCTCTCTTCGCTCCCCTGTCTGTTTCCTCGCCCTATCCTCTCGGAGGGAAAGGGATTCTTTCGTGGCAAGCTTCGTGCAACGGGGTAACGACAGATTCTCGTCGAGGAGTCCTTGATTGTGCATTGACCTCTCGAGGCTGCCGATGCCGAGAGAGTCCTCCTTTTTTTTATTCACGTGTTGTCTCGTGGCAACAAGAGCGAATATTATCCCCGTGTTACAGTTTCTTTGAGATGCTAGAATCTTTTAAAATATAGACGCATTTTCAAATATGTGATAAAGTTTATTATTATAAATACGACAATATAAAAATAATTCTATATAGATTTATCCATATCGTATTATTAATGCAAAGATTCATTATTAATATAAACGTCGAAAGGACATTTATTATTGAAATAGAGCATTTTATAAATAAAACACAGCACTAATATCTACAAGCAAATTATTGATTTTTATAAATATATGTAACAGATGCGCAGAATCAAATTTAAAAAAATATTATTTCTGCAAAAAGTTTTTCAATGTGCTCTTTGCCCTAAATAGTGAATTTTTGTCTAATTCCAGATTCAGCAACGGGCATGACGACGACCGTGACGCTACTACTAATTACTCTGGCCGTAACGATAATTCGATAAACAAAACCCAAGTTCTCGTCTTGATACGCGATAAATGTTGATTCTCCCTAATTAAAGAACTCGATTAAAAAGTAAAGAAAAGAAGATTTTTTTTTTTTTAGAATTTAAACGATGCATAAAGGACACACAACATACACACACAATCCATACGTTTGTATGCGTAAACATGCAAACATATACACACGTAATTATACACGAGTGACACAAAGACTGACCGGGGTAGTTAACGTTCGTATTAAATGACGGAGAATAATTACGCGCGTGCCAAGTTAGTATAGCGACAAAGTTCAAGAGTGGCCAAGAATTGAAGGAGCATGAATTCCCCCACCGATCCCCCTCATTGTAAGATTGCGTGTGTGTGTTTGTGTCTGTCAGTCTGTCTGTGTGTATGTGTGCATGAATTCAGACGAGGGTGAGATACGCAGCGATGGGCGGAACAACGAGAACGAAGAAGGGAAGATATTAACAAAGTGCAACGACTATCGCTTTCAGTGTAATATATTGTATAACGCTGTAATCAATGACGCCAACAACAAAAAAAACCAGTGATCCCGTCTCTGCGAGTGCAATTTGGGAACTTGTGAGAATAAGTCGTTATATTTTTTAACTGCATCATGGGAGAATTTTAGTCGCGCGGTAATCCCAGTATTTCGGAATATCAAAACGAAACCACTCGAGCTTAATATTGGATTAAAGTTTACGACTGAGGAAAAGAGCCCCATCCCCAATGGGATTTTGGACTATTTTTAAATTTCTATACTTTTTCGAAAAAAACAAAAAAACATGATTTCATCTCTTTCATTAGTACGTAATAAAGATTTTCAATTTTATTAACAACGTAGAAGAGAATTGCGTTTGAAGATCATTCGTCGTAATATGATGTGTGTATCTCTCGAGAGAACAATCGCGCGGGAGTATAAATTGCGCTTCAAGCAGAGTTTATTTTCTATTGCCATCAAGTCCGACTCGGTTTCAGCTGCGATGTATTCCTTAGGCATCGGCAACTTTTTTTTTCGGGTACTAAAACGTGAGAGAAATATGGCATTGCGCGAGCGCGTATTATCTTCAGCATCGATTCTCCACTTCTTCCCTCCGCAGACACACCCTTTCTGTTCTGCCAAGAATACATTCCAAATTCTCCGATTCCTTCTCGTTCGAGCCCTTGCATCCTTACGTACGAAATCATGAATCCCATCTGGATACTTGAGATTAAAACGTCAGATTCGATGCAGAGGAGTTGCTCTCGCTTAAGGAGACAGTCGAAAGAAGCACGGAGACGACGGAAAGGGAAAAAAGAAAATGGAAAATTTGCGGCAGAAAAAGTGGAACGGAACGGAGATATGCTATAACGGAGCAATCGAGTCGTTCATTGATTGCAAGCAAGCAGTTTTTTTCTAAGCCACATATAGAATCAGAAGTAAAATATTATACTTTCTTTGTTGTCATTAAAATAAATTGATTCTTCTGCATGTCAAAACTCATACTCGATAAAAAAGAAGGTGTCGAAACTTTTTCTATTAATTTACGAATTAGTGAATAGACGAAAATCTCTCTTTTGCATTATCACACTGTCGTAAATACAAATGTGAGATAGGTGTAAATGTTCATATGTTTGTTTAATAATAAAAGATGTTATAATAGATTTTAACACATTTTATCATTACACGTGTAGCGCTATTGCGACACATGGGATATAAATAATAGACATGCGAAGAGGCCAATTTATTATCACGATTTGCATTTCTCGCTTCTGACGTCGTAATCCCAGATAAGTGTACCGAATGATTTTGAGCATAGCATTAAAAGCTTATCTTTTATTACCTGTCTTTTATTGTATTTGCTATTTTTACGTTTGTGCACGCGCAAAGAAATGTTCTTGTAAGAATTGACTGTCCTTATGACGTACATAATAAAACAAATCGATCAGGTATTTCATATTCATACATTAACGTGGAGATTTTTTGCAGTTAGAAATCTATCCGCAAGATTGAAGAATTGAGAGAAAATAATTGCAAGATAAATTAAACTTATCCGGAAGGTGATCGAATCCCATTTCACCACGCCGTTACGTCGTGCGATCAATTTGTTTACGCGTTAATTGATCAAATTGGGATTTGTTCGTAGACGGTCGCGAGCGGCTGCCACGTCGGTTTTAAGCGGGCTTCGAACTACTTAGAAATATCCATTATTCAGCGTACATCTTGTTTAAAGCAACAGGTTCGAGAGTCCCTGCACTCTGCGAGCAAAGGAGTTAATGCCCGCTACGGATTAAAGAAGGGAACGGCTCGACTTAGGGATTACGTAGGACTTACCCTGATGAGGTCTGTAATCGTATCATTCGCGAGACTACCTCTCGGTCTTGTAACATTTTAAGAGTCATAAGCATGAGAAGATCACGCGCTCGCGTCGCAGTTTTCGCGGTGCGATGCAATCTGCAAATCTAATCGCGACGAATTCGAATCCCGATCTGTTCAACGCAAACTAATGATTGTTTCCCTGACTGTCAAATGAAATAAAGAATTTATGCGCTTTTACGCGTGTGAACGATTAACCGGCATTAAAAGGTGTTCATTACACGTGCATTGTAAGCGATTCGAACTTGGTAAAATAAAATTATGAAAGTTTAGAAAAGAGCAGTTTAGAAAAAAAAAAAAAAAAAAGATGATGACAGAAATGTTTTATAATCTAGACTGCATTTGATAATAATATTTAAATGTATTTTTAAAATGCATTTTTATATTTAGCATCAAAATTTATGTAAGAATGTGTTCCATAATATTATTACTATTTTTTTCATAGATTTATTCAGTTCAATCTTCTAATCATTTTATGTAATTTTTGGAAAAAAAAACAATTATGAATACTTTACAAGTCTTTTGTGAAAGATAATTGTACTCAATCCGGGGCGCAGCGTGATTTATTTCAAAACATTAATCGGCACGGCCGATTATTCTTTAAATTTTATTCTAATCAGCTTTAATCAGTCATAAAGTTCCGTACATGCATACACATACACATATATATGCACGGGTCAATAAACACGGTATGTTCTATAATTCTGCACGAGACGTAAAGATTGTCAAAAAAGTCAGAATTTAACATTTTAAATAGTTTTGTCTCTATAAAAAAATCAAAAATTAAACCGCAAAATAAAAACAAGTTGGTCGTATCTAAAAAAAGTCGAAAGACGTCATCTATCGAGAATTGATCTCGCCGTTAATCCACATAGAACTCGCATAGCACATATATATGTATGTGTGTATATACGCGTGTGTAATTGTGCACGTTGTAAAGCAACAGTGATTTCTTGTGCGTAACATGCGTAATGCCATTTTCCGTTAGCGTCGTATCGACGCAACGTATTTTCTTCCCGATTCCGGATCTCGATTGAATCATGAATCTAAAACGTGAAACGCGCCATTGGAAAATTCACAAAATTATTGCGAATCACCCGTTGACTGAAAGGATGGGAGAAATTAACTCAAATTATAAAGTAATTTTCAAAAGTACCTAAAAAAACACTCCTACACAGATAGAAACTTATAATTAAAATCGCGATTGGCTAAGGGAAAATGGTAACGCGAATTATTAAAATTATCGGTCTAAGGGTGCTCGAATGTTGACTCGTCTCATCGACGAATCCTGTAAATATACAAGTATACAAGTGATAAGGATTACACGTAGAGTAAGCTTCGCAGACTGCAGTAATTAGTGTGCGGCGTGTCGCGTACGCCGACGTGTCATTAATCCGTTTTTCCGTTCTTCGCAATTTCTGCTTTTCAGTTCATTCGTACGCCGTCGTTTCCGCACGGAGAAATTTCCCGCGCAGAAGGGTAAAATCTTAGCGAGTGATATTTTCACCTAATGAGTAATATACGGATCGCGACGTGAAAAATTCGCCGTCTCAGCGTTATAAGCGCACGACGAGACATATTAAACGCGAAGGTATATATGTATACATGACACGCAGATTATAAATATGAAAATACAAATATATATCTCGCCCCCCACGATGACGACAAAAAATATCTTAAGATAGTATCGCCATTGGTGTCAAATTAGTGCTTGTAACATCTTGCAAGCGAAGAGCCACGTGTAATTTGCATTCGATGACGAACCATCGTGCCAAACAAACAGAAACCACTTACAAATAATTGCTTGATATATTAGAGCCGATTAGAGCTGGAATAAAGAAGCTCCATGTGGGGGAAAGAAAAGAAGACAAAGGTCAGCTTGTCGATAAGAAGAATACTTATGTGTGTTTGGACACACGAGTTTGACTATATATATATGTATATAACAGATTATAAATATGAAAATACAAATATATATATATATATATATATATATATATATAAATATAAATATACGAATTACGGGGGACTATATTGAGTATATATATATATATATGTTATATAATATATTATGATATGCTTTGCGACGTTGAGTTGAATGTTGTTATTTACAAGAAAACAAAAAGAAACGAGAAGTTCTTATGAATATTCTCGACATATGTAATAAAACAAGGGGTTACGTAAGAACTCTACAAATCACGTTTTTCTTCTCGTTCAATATCCCTCTCATTTCGCCTTTTTCAATAAATATAAAATCCTTTCTCCCCATATGAAACAATATAGATATAAGAAGAGAGAGAAAACTGTAAACTTTATTTTTTAATTTATAATTTATCTCTCGCTCGTTTATTGCGGTCTATTATACCAATATTATAGTAACACGAGAAAAAGTGTGGAAGCAGATAAAATTGCCGATCGTTTCGACGGAGAATAAAGAGTCAAGATATAATATTTTCAATTTTTGTCACAAAGAAGGCTTCCGCTGCTAAATTATCTCGATTCGTTTATTATTCGTATTATTTGATCTCAGTTCTTTATCCTAATTAAACATTTAAGTCTACGTGCTTACGGGGAACTCCGAAAACGTTTCATCCCTCGGACTCACGATTCTGTTTACCACGGGTAAGCTAAATACAGACTGAGAGGGGTTGGAGAGGGAGAGGGGAGCAACATTCGGCAAGCTGACGAGGAAACGGCGCTAGGCCACTGTTCGTAATATTTGGGCCGCATGAATCCGCGAAGTGAAACGCTATCTACCATCGACGGATTAAATCTCAGGCCGACTATGTGTTTATATGCTCCAACTATGGGTGAGGAGAGGAATGGAGAGGAAGAGGGGGGAGAACGGCACGAAAGTTCAACAACGTCGGATACGTCGGTGTAGCGGAGATAAACGGATCGTGCTAGAAGATCGAGAGGGAGTATATGTCAACCTTTACACAATACTTCGCCGTCTATTGTCGTTGACATTGTAACACAAACCGCGATTCGCCGGTTGGCATACTAACCGTGGGATTAATTCCGCGTGCGGCCCAGGATGGGCCGGCTAATGCGTAACATATCATATACGTTTTCCCGCCGACAAGTCACTATCAGTTTATAAGCCCGTAAGTCCGGCAATCGCTAATTAAAACCGCGCAATTTCTCGTTTGAGAATTAGAGGACGAGATTGCAGCGGAAGTTTAGCAGCGTTCAATTGATACGGCTCATTTATTCGGCTCTCAACGCATCCTTGCGTTATACGTCAATAAAATATATCAGAACATTTTAAAAAACATGTTGATTCAAATAATAAAGTATTTAACTTTTAATACAGAAATTTCACGTATCATATCAGAGCATGAATCTGATTCTTAACAATAACGAAAGAAAAATATTGTTCAAAATTGAAACATTAAAATTTAGTTTCTAAAATTTCGTCGTTATAGTCAAACGATTGCCTCAGAAACCAAAACACGAGCGAGGGCAAAAAGCGTCGCGATCACCCGCTCGGTGCGTGATCGCGTTCTTCTATAGTGAAAAACCGTGACAAACACCTGGTTCGAGAACGTTCGATACCGAAAATACTTGTTATTTACATCGGCAGAGCGCGAGCTCCCGCGGTCGGTCGATTTAGTCTGCCTATGACAACGATTCGAACCGGTCGAAATTCATCGATCTTTCTAATTCGCAATTTCTTAATCTCGCTCGTTTCAAAAGTGATCCGAATTGTCTCGCATCCAATCGCGTACAGATTCTCGCGTTGGTCAATTCGGTCACAGCTCAAATCATCTTTGTTCAATATTTAGTGCTAAGACATTGTGAACGTTCCTTCTGTGGAGTCCGAGAGTCGACGCTCGTTAACCGCATCGCGAATGTCCTCTGCCTCGCGCCAAGCAACATCCGGCGTCCGCGTGCAAGATATCCGTTCCCGCGAGAGCCTATTGCAAGAAGCTCTGCAAGATTTCCGACCCGCGTCAAAGGCAGTTATTAACAGGACAATTTGAAGATATCCGTCGGATTCGCGGAATACGTGCCGTCGCTCGCTCCTATTATTCGAAATAAACCGAATAGTTAAAACAACTTGTACTCGAACATTTTCTAAAATCTCCTTGTCCTCCAGCGGATCCGCGTTACACAAGCTTCTCGCTCATCTCTGAGCGTTTCTAAAGATTCGGGCGATCTCGTCGAGATCGAGTCCCGAACAAATATATATCTTAACATTTGAATGAGTCAAAAATTTACAATGAATTTTGACACAAGACTGCACACTCCAAAAAGGATTACTAAATTAAATTTCTATTTCTTCATATTTATCTCTTATAGCAGGATTTCCAGAGAAAAAAAAATAACAACGTTACATATTATTGTTCTGAAAAATGGATAATTACCATGGTGAATGTTGTTTACAGTTTACAAGATATTCGGAGAGCGAGTTTTTGTGGTGGCTGAAGAGAAAGAAAAATTTCAATGAAATCTTGATGAGAGTTGAGTTGCTGACAAGGGTAAGCATTGCAGCATATTATGAATTAAATTTACTTTCGGACTCGTGTTGGTCTCTTTTACTTCATAATAGGTACGATCCATGGCGAGCGGCCGCTTCGTCAGGCATGTCCGTCGACCTCATTCATTCATGCTTTTTTTTTCTCCAACTCTTTTTTTTTTCTCCCCCTTTCGCTCAGACGCATTGTCAAGATGTTCTTTTCCCCTCGAGAGAATCGCCGAAAAGTACTCGCGAATATTATCATGAAGTGGATAAGTATAAATTGACCTATCAATTTTTTTTTATTATTTTTTCAAGAGAATCTTGCAGCAAAATTTTAAATTAAAATTAAATAATCTTTATTAAATGCAGTAGAAAATTTTTGCTAATTAATTAAAAAATTGAAACTTTAAAGACTTAAAATTTTTTGGCTGTCTTATTAGAAAATATTGAAACAATCAAAAATTGAGGTTCACTTGTGCAAAATTTAACTTTGTTAATTAATTTTAAAGATATAAGAAAAGGAACGTGCAATAGAAATTTTTCTAATAAAAATCAACGAACAAAAAATACAGAAAAAGAGAAGAGACAGATGTTCACAAGATGTGCACAGAATTACTATATGTCACGTACGCGATGAAATAGACGATATAATTTTGTTTCCTCAACGAGAATTCCTTATCTCGATTAAGGTATAGAGAAAGAAAAGTAGACGCGTGCACGGCGAAAGTTCTATATTTGGTATCAGAAGAAGTTAGTTCCAGCGCGTCTATATTTATTCCCCGAAATATAGCGCGAACAAATTATTTCTAATAATGTCGCAATTATCGCTGACAATAAGTAGACACTAGAATATTTTAATATGGAGTGGTTTTCTTAAACATTGTGCGGGGTGAAAAATGTAAGAGAAAAGTAATAATGAAAAAACTTTCATCATACTAGATTATTCAAGAACAGAGCATAAAAGCCATTTCTATATTAGTATATGGTTTATATCAAAAACATGTTATATTAATACGTACATTAAACTGAAAGGAAAGTATTTAAAACAAGAATTAAAATGTCAAATTTATAAATTGGCACTCACCAAAAAATATAACATGAACAAAACAATTATTAATTTTATCATCATGAGAATTGAGAACGATATGAGCACGGTTGATATAAATCGTGTAAACATTTCAACGTGAACAACGACGCGAATACGAGAGAATGCCATATCGATACAACTCGAAATATGACACAAGGTGAGTCGAACGAAGAACGGCGGCACGTATCATGCATATTCAGCGCGAAGAATCCACCCCTGTACGGGATGGATTCTTAGTACGAGCCGCGTGGAAGTCCGGGAATCCGCAATCCGTTTACGAATTTCGAACGGCAAGGTAATGGCTCGTGCGTAGTCGCGCGGTTAGAAATTACAATTCGAATTCCAGTGCCGTGGCTGACGACGAGGTGAGAGAGAGAGAGAGAGAGAGAGAGAGAGAAGCGGAGCTGGGAGAAATTGAGGAAAGGGAATAGCACGGATATTGGAGTAAGGTAGGGGACGACGCTAGGAAACGGATAGAAGTGGAGGAGTAAACCGGGGGCCGGCAGTTGACCCGCGTGCACGGATATAACGGCTTTTCGACCTATTCGCCAGCATTCTGGAATTGTAATCGCAGTTCAATTCGACATGTTCTACGCACGTCGTACTCACCCCCTTTTCGCCCCCGCTCCCCATCCCCCCCTTCCTTTCGAGCGGTTACGATCCGGTCGGATTCCATTTTAATTACTTACCCCCTTCGATCAGCGTCGTCCGTATTCCTCCGTCGTGTTCGGGCATCTCACGTCACGCGCGACATATTTCCTTCGTGGCGTGTTACTTCTCACTTGACGATAAACGGTATCCCCGGACACGATGCTGCTTTCGACTCTGTAAAAACAAAAAAAAATCTGCTTATTTGTCGTTGAAAATAATCGTGATTTTATTCGCAAATTAAATTTCACATTCGTAAAAACACATATAAGATGTGTTTTCCGTTTAATCTCGAGAAAAGGGAGAATTTAATTCAATAGAATCTTAAGAACTAAAATTAAAAGATCATAAAGAAATAAAAAATATTCCTCTTCGATATTTTTATAATATAAAAATTATTAAAGTGTGAGACATACACACACACACACACACACACACACCACACACACACACATATTTACCTATATCCAAAATATTGTTTATCTTCATAGTTGTGAATATGGTTTTTAATTCTTTCAATGATAAATGTTTTTCAATAAAACTTTATTCTAAGTTATGTTTTACGTTAGGATTAATAAAAATAATGATATTTCTCTTTATTTCCACACCTAAAACGTAGTGATCATAATGAAAGAGAGAATATGTTATATATAACTGCCAAAATATAATTTGTATTGCTAAAGAGACAGATTTTAGCTTTTACATAATTGTTCAAAAATATAAGATAATTTATTTTAGGAATATAATAACTTATGACATTGTTATATAAGGTAATCTTAAGATAATAGTAATTTTGTTTACTCTTGATATCAAATACTGCAAATATTGTCTTATAGCATTCGTTATCTTTATAGTATAATCGCCACAGTAAGATTTGTAACGTAAATAACGCGCTTACATTTTTTTCTATACTTTAAAGAATAAAGTTTGTTTCTTTCTTCTTCTCCTTTTAATTTTTATTTCAATCAAAATAATACCACGTTATATTAATTACGTGACTCACACGTAACATTACATTATACATATAACACATAGACAAATGTAGATTTAAATCGCAAGCCTAACGTAGTTAACAAATTAATGACAGATTTTTTTACCATTTTGGAGTCGATCTTTTTCCTAATAAGAAATTAATAATATCAAAAGTAATAAGATAAATGTCTTTGACATGATGGCTTCAAAAATGTCACGATTAACAAACTCAACTTTTCGAGAATTTGTTTTTAATAATGAAAAAATTGGCATATTTTCGAAGAGTTATTAAAGTATAATTTAAGAACTAAAATAGTTTCTATTTGAGTTTGATTTTTGTCATGACGAAAGAAAAATTATGTTGCAAGACGAAGAGGAATTTGTAGACAAGAGATGTAAAAGAAATGAATTGACAATTTATAGTGAAATATAAAGATATATAATCATAAAGAAGTCGTTTTAATAAAACTGAAAGATGACAGTTGTAATTCCTGCTCTAATTTTTCTAATTCTCTCTAGAATTTCATGATATAAAGATCAAATATACAATTATATCCCATTTTAGAATAAGCAATTATGCTTAGGGAAATCGTGTGTGGACACAGCTTGTTTTTCCTCGCCGTATCTCCGGTCTTATCAATATGCATTGTGTATAAATAGCGGATCTGACAAAGTCTGTGAGGAAGTTCGTTATTGTTGTAGGAGTGCAACCAGTCAGTTCGTTTTGCAATTGAATTAATAATTACACGACGACGAGGAAAAGTCAAGTATTCTTCTCGATCTATCGTTACCGAATGGTGACAAAAATTTATTTCGAATAATTCAATATAGGATACACTATCAAAGGAATCGTGTTTGTTGAAGAGTACTGGGTATTACAAAATAAAATCTAAATATTATAAGTAAGTATATGAAATATAAATGGTATATATGTATAACATTATGATGTCTACATGAATTGCAAGTATTCCATCTTTCTTCTTAATGACTTCAAATTGACCAAAGAGAATCTATTTTAAAAATATAACATGAAAAATATATTGAACCTTTTGTGCATATATTATGATTATAATATACAATATAATTATAAAAATATAACGTGTTCATTAATTATAAATCAAAGCGATAATAAAGTGATTATTTCAATATCGGTGGTATCTTAATATTTAAAAATTTTTATTTTGAACAAAGAGATAAAATTTCTTGAATAATCAAAGTTATTGAATAGAATAATTAACAAGTAGAGTACAATGATTTTCCAATTACAAGATTAAGAGAATCATATAAGGGTTATATATAAAGTATATCTTCTCTTCAGCACCAAGATGCTTTCGAGGTGATATAAATTATTAATTTATTTTATTATTAGCCAAATAATTTGGCCTATACTCCATATTATTAGCCAAAAAGCTGTGAAAGTCAATGGCTCTGGTCAGGAATTTTCCAGATATATGCATTTATTCGTCTATAAAATCTCTCATCTCATCATCAAGCATATAAAAGAACCTAACGATACTTGTACAATTCTTTGAGTTATTATCACTTCTTATATCTCGTCTCATTGCAGTCATCCGTGGAGTCACGTGTTCATTCGTTCATTCGGTATTCATATCCTCATTCGGGCATTCGCGTAGTTCATCAGTATTAAACTTAGAAAGAAAGTTGGCCTCCGTGCGGTTCACGAACCACTTTATACTTTTCCCTCGCTTTTAAACCTCTTGTACGGCAAGTTTCTCTAATGAGAAGTGATATATTTTAGATTCATTGAATTGAAGTCCGATTCTTTTTTTTTTCATTTTTTATGCTTAAACAAATTTTCCGAAGAACTGTATATTACGTTGTCGCAATTAATAATGTCGATCTAACAGTTCTTTTCGAAACAAATTACATTTATCTACGAGATTTGTATTATTTTTTATGATTTATATATTTCTTAAATATTCGCGATAGAAAAGGAAAACAAAAAAGGACGAAAGGAAAGAGAAGCAATTCAGATTTTGACTTAAAATAGTTTTTCGATATCCACTAAGATCTCTTTTCTTCATTTTAAAAATTAGAAAATTTACAAGATTAATCTGAGAAATCCTATAGCAACTTTAAAAATTACAATTTAGCTATTTTTTCTCTAATTGTCGGAATATTTAGGAAAATGAACCAAGACGAATCATATATAAACAATTTGTGCATATTTAAAATGCAAAGAAACAATACTCCTCCCAAATAATTATTTGTTTTATCAACGTTATCGTTGAATAAATCTAATACGCAAGTAACAGATATGGATTTTCAAAATAAATAGCTCAAACGCTCTGACTGCAAAATAATCGCGACGTAACAATGTTTATGGATCATGCAATTATGAGAGATTGAAAACATCACGGAAAATTCGAGCATTAAAAGCGCGTATATACTGTTAATTGTTAGATTGATTTGTTCATTGTTTCACGAATGCGAAACTGTTTACGACTCATATAATACTCTTAACGATGTAGAATTTTCAGCTACATAAAGTTGGATAATGTACTAATCTGACTATCAATAAAGTAAGCGTTCTTATGATATACAATGTAAGAAGTTTTTAATCCCTCGTACGATCTTTAATATGATGGTATAAATGTGATATCTTGTACTTTGTTGCTTTAATTTCAAATAGATACGTTATATCTATATATGTATATATTCTTATCTTTGTAGATATCAAACATATCACAAGTTTATCAATAAAAACATTATCATATTATATTTAAAAAAAATTGCGAAATTTCAACGTGACCTAGGCATTTTGCTAGAGTATTTCGCTTTACTTACAATTACAACATTAGAACACACAAACACATACATCTCGTGCAAAATTCGAAAAACTTCAAATTACGATTAATTAACATAGTACGATATAAAAATCAATATCTTGCAAAAAAAAAATCTTTCCAAAAATACTCGAGACTGATAATGTAATACTAAAATTTTTAATTATTTTTAGACAGGATTATACACTAGACATGTCATTTAAAAAATCTCATCCATATAATCCATATGATCCATAATGATTATGATTTCTATTCAGATGCCAAAAATTAATTAACTAACATAAGATATCTGACTTATATATTACAACGTGTTACACCATTTTATTAATCCTTTCATTGCTAAGATCTTCTAGTGTGGCGTATGCGTCAGGTATTTACAATTTTTAATAATAATTAGAAGTTAGCGTTAAGACCGCTTTTTTTGCGAAATTCTTTTTATAGTACGATCGATAAAATAAATTCCTTAACACATGAATTTATGCGGCATATTTATGTATTTTGCATATATATATATAGAAAATGCATATATATTCCGATATGTGTATAAATTTATGCGTTGAAACATTTCTCTTGTCAAGAACATTAAGCAGATAAAAAAATTAAATAAGCATAACCCGATGCGATGAGTACTTTTATAACAATGTTTATACAATTGTTCACATAGTGAATTACATTGAGCTGTCTTGCCGATAACCTTGACACTTTGTCAGATCCTATTCGCTTCTTTTCAATACCCTTCAATAATCATATTAGAACTTTAAATAAAACTAATAACATTCTCTTTCTTTCTTTTCTCTTGTCTTATATATAAATTATTTATAGAGCTAATAAATATTAAGATCAATATATCAAGATCAAAGTCTCCACAGTTCTTGGTTCTCTGAAAATAAAGTTTTGATTTTCATCTTCTTTTACAATCGATCGGCACTTTTTAATGTCTCTCGTATTTTTATTACATATATATCATATGTACATATTACATATATACATATGTATGTAATATTATATAATGTTAGGAATAGAAAGCAAGAAAATATCTTGCTAAGTAAACTTAATGGATATCATGAAAAAAATGTAATATAGAGAGAATAAAATTTAGCACAATGTAATTGTTCTTTTCCTAATGCAATGATACTATTCAGAATGAAATACATACATTCATATTTCTGGACTTGTTACTTTATAATATGTAAATGTGAGCTTCTTATTTTTAGTTATTGAAAGCATTAAACAATAATAAAAAAGTGGAACTAAATAATATATTTAGTTACTTTTGCTTTAAAGTCGAAGCCTAATAATATCCGTATTCTTCGCATCGCGTAATCGTCGTCTAGTAATGGCATAAATGCATTTTCTAATACATCAGTGTTGCATTAATCAGTTATTTTAATTATACTAGTCTTTGTCTATATTTTCATACGAGCGGCATCATTTACCCGATAGCTTAATATAGTTTCTTGGATTCGAAAGACAAAAAGTAACATGTTATTGCTATTCAGACAATTATGTAGATTCTTATCGATCTTTTTTCTCGTAAAATATAAAACTTGTTTTTATTTTTTTCTTTGTTATTTCTTTTTATTTCTATAATTTTATATTATATGCTAGAAAATGAAGTTTTCTTTAAAACAACATGTTATTTTATATATGTATATATGAAACTGATTCTATAATTCTTGTACATAGTTAAAAAAGACAAAAAGAGACATACATCATCGAAGCTTATTTGTATATATACAAATCCTATGTAGCATATACATAGAATTTAAATTTTGGACTGTAATTCTTTCATTCTCTCATACAGTTTCTAATCAATATATTGAAACATACATGAAGGTGTATATTATTTCTGCACATATTATAATATAATAAATAATATATTTATTCATAATTTCTATTTTATTTCTTAAATTAAAATGTTAGACTATAACAAAGTTACATATAACTGTTGAAATTAAACTTCGAAATTTGAACACAAAAAATGAGAAATATAGTGTCCTTATTTATCCTTATTTTGAAAAACACGATAGACAGTTGGCAATGAATTATAAATATTTACATCATTATATCTCAAACAGATATATGTAAGCGCCGGTTCAGATAAAGACCAAAACGATCAGCATCGTCACTTTGACAAAATACATCAAGAACATCAGACGTGTATTCCCTAATGTAAGTAATTACACATTTTTATTGTAGACTCATTATTATAAATATATTTAAATTTTTCATGATTATATATTATACATTTAGTTTGGAAGATGGCGAAATTTCAACGTGATCTAGGCATTGCGCTAATATTTTGGTTCGGTTTATTTACATTTGCAACATGTCATGTAGTACCAGAAGGCACGAATTTACGATTTGTGAGCGCGGTACGATATGAAAATTAATGTTTTGCAAAAAAGATTTCTCCTAGAAATCGAGACTAATGTTGAAATTTTCAGCTTTTCAGACATGGCGATCGTACAGTAGACACTGAAAACCATGAAACTTATCCAAATGATCCATATAAAGATATAGTCTACTATCCAGATGGCTCCGGTCAGTTAACTAATGTAAGAGATATTTTACTTATACGTTATATATAACATATATTACATTTTATTTTTAATCTTTTTACTATTGATATCGTCTCCCAGTGAGCATTATTGAGAGGATGAGCTCTTTAAGAGGACTTTTTAAAGACATAATTAAATTTTCTTAGAAATAATATCAGTAAGTTATCTTTTTGTAAGGTATCTTTCAGAAGAGCTCTTTATGATATTTCTTCATAGATATCTCTAAAGTCTCTAGCAAGCGTGCCAATTAAGATATTTTACAAACGCCGCACACATGCGCAAGCAACGTACGTGTGAACTAGAGACCCTGTGTTCAAGTGTGAACTGCGTGCCATTGCGTGCCATTTCTTTATCCAACCTAAGAAGATGGGTTATGTCTTCAAAAAGCACATGTTGCAAAATCATAAATTTCTTTAAATAAAAAAAATGTAAAGGGCGTTTTTTAATTCATCGATTGATCAATCGCATGATGCACAAATGTAGCAAATACTGGACTTTGCTGTACTTGCGCATCATATGCGATTGATCAATCGATGAATTAAAAAACGCCCTTTACATTTTTTTTTTATTTAAAGAAATTTATGATTTTGCAACATGTGCTTTTTGAAGACATAACCCATCTTCTTAGGTTGGATAAAGAAATGGCACGCAATGGCACGCAGTTCACACTTGAACACAGGGTCTCTAGTTCACACGTACGTTGCTTGCGCATGTGTGCGGCGTTTGTAAAATATCTTAATTGGCACGCTTGCTAGAGACTTTAGAGATATCTATGAAGAAATATCATAAAGAGCTCTTCTGAAAGATACCTTACAAAAAGATAACTTACTGATATCATTTCTAAGAAAATTTAATTAAGTCTTTAAAAAGTCCTCTTAAAGAGCTCATCCTCTCAATAATGCTCACTGGGAGACGATATCAATAGTAAAAAGATTAAAAATAAAATGTAATATATGTTATATAACGTATAAGTAAAATATCTCTTACATTAGTTAACTGACCGGAGCCATCTGGATAGTAGACTATATCTTTATATGGATCATTTGGATAAGTTTCATGGTTTTCAGTGTCTACTGTACGATCGCCATGTCTGAAAAGCTGAAAATTTCAACATTAGTCTCGATTTCTAGGAGAAATCTTTTTTGCAAAACATTAATTTTCATATCGTACCGCGCTCACAAATCGTAAATTCGTGCCTTCTGGTACTACATGACATGTTGCAAATGTAAATAAACCGAACCAAAATATTAGCGCAATGCCTAGATCACGTTGAAATTTCGCCATCTTCCAAACTAAATGTATAATATATAATCATGAAAAATTTAAATATATTTATAATAATGAGTCTACAATAAAAATGTGTAATTACTTACATTAGGGAATACACGTCTGATGTTCTTGATGTATTTTGTCAAAGTGACGATGCTGATCGTTTTGGTCTTTATCTGAACCGGCGCTTACATATATCTGTTTGAGATATAATGATGTAAATATTTATAATTCATTGCCAACTGTCTATCGTGTTTTTCAAAATAAGGATAAATAAGGACACTATATTTCTCATTTTTTGTGTTCAAATTTCGAAGTTTAATTTCAACAGTTATATGTAACTTTGGGTATATTAATATTTTCATATATATTTTTGTTATTTCTATATTTAACCTCATAAATTTCTTTAAATAAAAAAAAAATGTAAAGGGCGTTTTTTAATTCATCGATTGATCAATCGCATGATGCACAAATGTAGCAAATACTGGACTTTGCTGTACTTGCGCATCATATGCGATTGATCAATCGATGAATTAAAAAACTCGCCCAAAAATGTAATACTACAAATAGAACGGTTCTTAACGGTGACATTTTTTTGATATTTAAAAAAAGACAGATTGTAGAATTCTTTTAGATGTCAATTATATGATGTCTTTCTTTCCTCTAAAATCGACGCATTGCAGAACTTTTGATATCATAATATATTATCATTTTGATGGTGTTTTCGGAAGTCCGACTCTTAAACTTGAGTATTTCATGAATTTCTTTTGATAACATATTGCTCACTGGGAGCTATGTATCTTGTACATGTGTATATGTGTATTGTGTATATATGTATATATATGTGTGTGTGTGTGTGTGTGTGTGTGTGTTATATATTTGTGTGTGTGTGTGTGTGTGTGTGTGTGTGTGTGTGTGTGTGTGTGTGTGTGTGTGTGTGTGTGTGTGTGTGTGTGTTTATGTATATATATGTATCAATTATTTATAACTTTCAAAAAAATAGAGATTACCATTAAAACAATTTTGCAAAATATTTTTCATAGATCAAGAGCAAATACTAAATAAACATGTTTGTAACAACGAAAAGATAGAAAACATTTTTTTTCTTTTCTTTGTTTTCATACGGAAGATATTATTCGTTTATTCTCAAGTCTCTATCTCTTTGAAAAAGAAATTAACAGTAAAATCACATTTTATTTTATTTTTTATTATTTATGTTAATTAATAATGTTATTACCAAGACGGGCAAGAAAAGAGCATATCAATTAGGACAGATACTAAGAAACAGATACAACTGTTTTCTCGGAGATTTATACTATCAACCAAATGTCTACGCACAAAGCACAAAGATAGCTAGGACCAAGACAACCTTACAGTTAGTTATGGCGGCACTTTATCCACCTACTGAAATGCAAATTTGGAATCCGCTGCTTCCTTGGCAGCCAATAGATTTTATATATAATGTTATGGAAAATGATAATCTGTTATTTTCAGTTATGTGTCCCGTGTAAGTAATCATTTTCTCTTTATCAATCATTAAAAAATAAGTCATGCATCTCAAGTAACACACATAATGTTTAATTATATTGATAGAATAATAAATTGACAAATTAATAAAACAAAAATGTTATATGTAAGCCAAATATAGTTGACAAAATCTAAACAAATGCAATGATTCTCTTTTCTTTTCGAGATATTTTGAACACTAATTTTTTTGTATAATTAGATTACGTGATTAATTATTTTAATTCAATCAAGACTTTTTAGCGTTACGTTATAAAAAAGAGCGTGCCGCTATATTTAAAAATTGTATTATATAAACTTCGTCATAAAAAAAAATAATATTATAATTATTTAATTAGAGATTATTTCTCTCCTTTAAATTATTTCTTTAAAATCATTTCAATTATGTTTATTTCTTTTTAGATATAAGCGACCTTATCACGACATGTTACAAAACAATCTGACAGTAAAAACAGAAGTAGCAAAGTTTGCTGATTTAAAGAAACAATTATCGATCTATACAGGAAAAAATATTACCTCAATCTACGATCTCCTGCTTATATTTAGTACTTTGTCTACAGAATCATCTCTTGGACTACGTTTACCAGAATGGACGCGTAGCATATTTCCAAATGGCAAACTTTTAGATGCTTTTATTTTACAACTTGATCTATTTAGCTACGGCTCGTTAAACAAACTTAATGGAGGTATGTTTGAACAAACATATATTTTGCTTATAAATTATCTATTAGAATATTTAAAAGTATTAAAGATTAATCTCAGATTATGCGTAAATATTATATATTTTGATTATATAAATAAAATTTACGTGTTCTATTTCATTTTCTTTCATTTCATTTTCTCTCGGATGAATATGATTATAAGTGACAAAAATATATAACGCTTTTAACATCACAAGTATTTTATTATAAAAGAGTTATCTTTACTGCAATATATTTTAAATATGCGAGAAATATACTCACTGTTATAAATAACAGCATTCTGAAACACGTTACCGTTTAAGATCTTTAGAGTACAGATAATTACTAATAATTGAAATGGATTATTCTGAGATTATGATTATTGAGAAAAAAATGGATCTATTATATGATTATTATATAAAAAAATTGTTGCGCATCTTGATCACGTGTAATCTAAATCAAAACATTCATATACGCATATATATATGCGTATATAAATATTATTATTATATATCTTACGTATCTATGTATTTTTATAAAATATTCAAATATTCATATTTTTGCAGGTGTATTATTACGCAAAATAATTAACGATATGGACAAAGTGATCAATGGAACTTTAAAA